GCAAGTTGAGTCCAACGGGGGTGATAACACACAATTATGTATAAAAAAAATAAAATAAAACTCACAAGGTTCAACGTATCAAAGAAAAAGGTAACAAACTTTTTATGTCTAATTGCTCGGTACATAGGACTATGTCTGCTTCCCGACCCGTTCTGTGGATTGTGGCACGACGCTTTTACTAGGCAACTTTAAGGCTTCCAGTGGTCTGCTCTCTAAGAAATTTGTGTTTCGGTGTGTCTTTGGACGAAAGTCGAAAAAAACTTATTTCTGTGGTCTTGATTTTAAGTCGCTCTTCAAACTACTTGTTCTTGGTTGAAGAAGAGTCCAGAAGTGTGCGTGAATCTTGGTCAGCTATCTTGACGCGGTTTCAACACTGGGCGCTCATCTCTGCTTGTCGTCCAAGGTTCAAAACTTCTCGCCAGGGTCCGCGGCTCAATCTGACTTCTTCTCTCCGGCTTGGGTCGAACAAACTGAACTCATCTCTGCCGTCGGGGCGCGAACTTCTGGGCACTCATCTCTGCCGTCGAGGCGCGAACTTCTGGGCACTCGTCTCTGCCGTCGAGGCGCGAACTGATTTCTGTCTGGTGGGGCTTCGTTTTTATTGACGCCGTCAAAACCGGGGTGGGTCTGTTGGCGTCAGGGGTTGGTTCTAATTCTGAAAACTGTCTGTGTTTTCGTATTAATGGTTTGTCTTCATATCCTTAGATACACTTCCCCACCCACTTAGACCTTTACTATCATTCCAATAACACACTTCCATTTTTCGCGGATCCGCGGAAATCGGTCAGATGCTTGACCTGAATATTTTTCGACACCTGTTATCTGTCAGCCGTGCGTGTGTGTGCTCGCCTATGACCTGTTTTCGTATTATTTTTTCTTTCTTTCTTCTTCGTTTTCTCTTTCTTTCTCCTAGATCGCTTGAATGTAAAGAAAGAATTATTCTTAAAACCCAAAATATTTTTTTGGCCTTAAATAATTATTAAATGGTCGATAAACCGTAAAAAACAAATCATATATCTATGAATATTTCTCTCAGCTCGTCAGGTATGCATGGTGCCACAAAAGGCATTCTTAATTAATGACATTAACCACTAAGACATGTTATTTGTCTATTATCTTGACTTTATTTCACGCTTTCACTCCATATATGCTTGATTTCAATATCCCTCACCTGGCTATAGCCTTTGTATATTTCTTCTCCCTTGATTATAGGGGCTGACTGGTCTTTCTTTTGCACATCTTGCCACAACTGCGTGGGTTCAAATACGCAGTTCTTGGTTATGTTTTCTTTCTAGTTCTGGAAAGATACCAAAATTCTTAGAAGTCGACGGATTACTACACATGAATGAGACGAAAGATGACAGTGGTTGAAACGTTGTTATAACCAAAACGAGAATTAAACACGATGGTGAAGACGAAAGAAAACGAAAAACTGGAGTCCATACTCAATGGAGGTAAGTAATGTGCTTATAATACCTAGCGCTTCTATCAAAATCGCAAGAAACGAGATTGTTCAGATAATAGGAGTGCTAGTGGCAATTATGATATTGAACGTCGTGCTGGAGATAAGAAGAAATTAGAACTATAAAGAAACTTGCTGTCACTCTGTCTCCAACAACAATCAACCGGCATCTAGAGTAAACAGGCAAATACTTAACAATATTGATTTTTAAAATTTCGCCCCGAGTAAGGCAATAAAGCCACTATGACACAAGCGGTTAATGAGTGTGAAAGAATGAGAAAAAGGAGGAACATTATTAAGAAGGGAGAGCAATAGAAGAGTAAACAAGAAGAGAGGAGATAGAGATTGACATTGCATTTAAATTTTTGAAAATCAAAGTCAGCTGGAACGCATGGAACCGGAAGAGAGTTGCACAAGCGAGAAGTGCGAGAAAAGAAACTATTAGCATAGAATTTTCGGTTATATCTAGTCAATTAAGCTATAATTTGTCCTCCAGATATGCGCCGTGCGTGATACACGCTTAGGCGATCATGTATCTTTCGATACATGACTGACGAGGCAGATTTTTTCCGCAGTAAGTTGCCATTTCTTTCTGCGGTAGACCAGTTGCCATCCAAGGCTACAGAACCCGGCCTGTCCTGCTATTTACCCATAGCTGGGGGAGAAGAAGAGGATTCATACCTTTCCCAAGGGTATTAGCACGTAAGTGAATGTAATGGATTCGACTGGAATTCGAACTCGGATCTCCGATTCCTCAATCTGAGCCGCTTATCCATTAGTTCACCCGAACAATTACCATGAAAGTATTTCTAGGAAAGGCACAAGGAAGTTACATTACGGCGATGAGAAAATAAATAAAACCAAGACGAAAGTTCAGGATCAATAATATTGCTGATTTTTCTTTGGATTTTATCAAGAATCTCTTACTATAGAGCAGAGACACCGGATCATATGTGGAAATAATATTCAAAGCATTGCTGTTTTAATTGTTGCCACTGTTCAGATATTGATTGGCGCTGGAAAATGCAAAGATAATGTCGTACACTTGGCTCTTTTTTTTTTGTTTCTTGATTGGTTGTCTAATAACCTTGAGGCTACGCGATTATTCGCACCAATTTTTTCCCGATCCGCGATTTCCAGGAACCAAAACCTAATTTGAGCCCGACGGTCAACAATTCTACAAAAATGATTATGATCATCCTTCACTTTATGAATTTCGTCCGGGCTACCTAAATGTCTGGGGCTATTTGCTATTGCAACTAGGGTATATTGACCTTTTCCACGAACAACGAAAGTGTAGGTGGATATATGTGACGATGAATTGGAGCAGATATAGAAAACGAGACGAGAAAAGAGAAAGAGAGAAATTATAAGGGAATGAAAGAGTGATGTATATAAAAAAAAGCATTTGAGGATAAGATTAATGGAAAAAGAGGGTGAGAGTGAGGGAGGAAAAGAGAAAGCTAGGTCTTCAGAGAAAAGAAGAGAAAGAAATGAAGAGAGAGTGACAGAGAGAAAGTGAGGTTAAGACAGCAAGGGTGAGAAAGCAAGGAAAAGAACAAGAGAAAGCGATGAAGAAGCGAGGTTGAAGTAGAGTGCGAGCGAAGAGAAAGAAAGAGCGAAGAAGAGAGAGAGAGTGGAGGAGAATAAGGGTGAGAGACCGAAAGAATGAGGATATATATATATATATATATATATATATATATATATATATATATATATATATAGAGAGAGAGAGAGAGAGAGAGCTAGAGATTTAAGCTAAACGAAGTAGAGAAAGAGAAATAAGAGAGCAAAGAGAGAGAGAGAGAGAGAAAATAGAGAGAGAGAGAGAGGAGAAGAAAAAAAAGATTGATATTGCTAGAGATATAGTTAGTAGAAAGAGCAAACGAAGAAGAGAAGCGAGGGAGTAGAGAAAGAGAAAATCCGCCAGAGGAAGAGAGAATGAGAAAGTGAACAAGGGAGGAAGAGAGAGAGAGAGAGAGAGAGAGAGAGAGAGAGAGGGAGAGGGGTGTAGAAATAGATAGATAGTAAGAGAGAACAAAAGATAAATAACAGCAAGTAATCAATAGATCGTTTTATGTCTCCGCATGTTGAAAGGTCAGAAAATTTTCGTTTGTCCATGATACCATCATCGTTGTCCTCGTCGTCATGGTCGTGGTCGGTAATCCTCCCCAGGCAAGTAGTAATTAATTTCCATTCTATCGCTGACATCTACATTACTCCAATTCCCCCTTTTCTCCTCATCGATTTCATTTGTTCGTTTATTCATTCGTTAATTCCCTCGTTCGCTCCCTCCTCCTTTTACAACAGCCAGTTTTACTCTCCTCTTCCTGCTTCTCCGCTGTCCCCTTTAAATTGCTCTTGTTTTTCCTTCTTTCCTTCTACGACGTCTACGTTTATTTTCTTCCCCGTTTCTTCCTCCTTCTCACTTTTGTGCATTCATTATTTTCGTTTCGTTTACTATACACATTATTGTCCCCCTCTTCCCTCTACTAGTAGCCATTTGCTTTTTCTTTTCTTTTACTTCCTGGAGAAAATGTGTTAAATCAATCTTTTAAATCATCATCATCATCATCATCATCATCATCATCATCATCATCATCATCATCATCAGTCCTATGATCGGGTGTGGTCACAGGATCACCGTGCGGCTGGGTTCCTGACATGTTCCCTCTACATATCTGGGTTGAAAGCCTAAGAAGTATTCATTCAAGCGTGTCGTGTCCGGAGCAACTCCCCCTTGTGAAGCACACCCCTCTCCAGATCAAACCACAGCCGATATTCTCCAAATTGAAGGCTCGCCTTGGTCACAGAGACATGGCCGTTGTTTCGATGGGGGGGACTCTCCGCCCTGGCCGATGACATCAGTCTAGAAAGCCCTCCGCCCAGCGATGCTGTCTTATCCCCGAACTGGTTACATATATAACTATGGATCCTACACAAGCCCATTGTACTAGATGCTCAATGACCCTACAAGAAAGTTTTTAATCATGCTGCATTTGTATCTTCGATCAAAAAAGCCTGGTGCGAGAATCAATTTAATGGCCAATGACCCGGCATGCTGAAGGTAGCCGTTTAAATAATCTGTAACCTTTTAAATAGTCAAGTGATTTGTACCTGGGATTGTGCACTAACCAACGAGCAACCTTGGGAGTCTCACTCTGGACACTGTCATGGTATTCATTATTTTATCATATTTCTGGTCTTTGAAGTGTATTTTGTATCCTCCTAAGGCTTTTCTTTTTACTTCCTGATTTATAGAGTCATATTCGAGTAACATGAAGTACTTCTTTTTTATTAAATGTTAACCCAACACGAAACCCAAGAGAAACTTTGGCCCATTCAACAATACCTGTATCAGATCTTACAAAACCCTGACCGCCCAAGCATTGATGCCTGAAACCAAATTTCCGCCATTCAGCTTGGATCTAAAAAGGTGCTTTACACACTGAAGAAACCCTTCTTGTATGTGTGATTTCATCTTGTAATTGAGAATCTTTTCCATCATTAGAACACCCAGGTATTTATAACCATCTTACGGCGCTACCATGTTGAAACACCGGCTCCCGTACGATCACCGAAGTTAAGCAAAATCGAGCTTGGTGAGTACCTAAACAGCTTTGGAATACCAGGTGCTGTAAACTTGGATATACTAATGTTGTAATAGATAACACCTTGAAATCGGAGAGTCTAGTTCGAATTCCAGTCGGGATCATTTATATTCACTTTTGTACAAATACGTTTGGGATAGGTATGAATCACCCTCTTCCCACAGCTATGGATTAATTAGTAGAAACTGAATCAGTAAAAATCATTATTATACACTCCCCAGGTTTAGAATTCTGTATATAAATTAAATAGGAATATGAGGAAGAAATGCAAGATTGGAAGAATGTTGATGTGACTAAAAAACTAGAGAAGAAAATGTAAAATGAAAGCCAAATAAAAAAAAGGGAAGTATTAAACAAAAAATCAAATAAAAAGTGAATATATAAATGAAGTTAAATTGAAGAAGATGTTTTTTGAAATGAAAAAAAAAAAGAAAAAGAAAGAGAATGAAGAAAGACAATCAAAGAAAGAAAGAAAAATGAAATAAAGAGATAAACGAAAAAGAAAGAACCAAATAAAAATGAAAAGAATTAAGAATAAGAAAGCATGAAAATAAAATGAAAGAATAAAAAATAAACACGGTAGAAAGAAAGGAATAAAGAAAGGAATAAAGAAAGAAAGGAATAAAGAATGGAATAAAGAAAGAAAGAAAGGAATAAAAAAGGAATAAAGAATGGAATAAAGAAAGAAAGGAATAAAAAAGGAATAAAGAAAGAAAAAAAGAAAAAGAAAAAAAAAAATGGAATAAAAAAGAAAGAAAGGAAAGAAAGAAAGGAATAAAAAAAAGAATGGAATAAAGAAAGGAATAAAGAAAGAAAGGAAAAAAAAATGGAATAAAAAAAGAAATAAAGAATGGAATAAAAAAAAGAAAGAATAAAAAGAAATAAAAGAATGCAAAAGAAAGAAAGAAAAATAAAAAAAATAAAGAAAGAAAGAAAAAAGAAAAAAAAAAGAAAGGAATAAAGAAAGAAAGAAAGAAAGGAATAAAAAAGAAAAAAATGGAAAAAGAAAGAAAAGAAAAGAAAAGAATAAAGAAAGAAAGAATGGAATAAAGAAAGAAAAGAAAAGAATGGAATAAAGAAAGAATGGAATAAAGAAAGAAAAAGGAATAAAAAAATGGAATAAAAAAAAAGAAAGGAATAAAAAAGGAATAAAAAAAAAAAAAAAAAAGGAATAAAGAAAGAAAAATAAATAAATAAATAAATAAATAAAGAAAAAGAAAGGAATAAAGAAATAAAGGAATAAAGAAAGAAAAGAAAAGAAGTAAAGAAAGAATAAAGAAATAAAGGAATAAAGAAAGAAAGGAATAAAGAATGGAATAATTAAAGAAAGAAAGATAAAAAGAATGGAATAAAGAAAGAAAGGAATAAAGAATGGAAGAAAGAAAGAAAGAAACAACAAGGAAAAGAAAGAAAGTCATGAAGCACAAAAGAAAACGAGCAAGCAGCATGAAAACGTCTTTGGATTTCACTGTTGCACTTTCCATCCTCTGTTAGAACACTTCCAAAATATTTAAATTTATTTGTAATTTGTATTTTGGGCTCATCCTTTTGCTGACAACCATGCATTCTGTTTTCTTGTAGTTTATATTTAGTTCTTTCTTCTTACTTTCCTTCGCTAACTTCTGTAGAAACATTTTTAGGTTCTTTTCTCTGTCTGCTATTAACACTGTGTCATCTGCATCTAATATTGTTAATAATGAATCATGGTAGGACTTCTAATTCTCTTAGAATTGCCACGCTCTATAGGTTGAATAAATCCGGTGAGAAGACACATCACTGTCTTACACCAATCTCTATTCGTTAAATTAGTAGAACGTTAAGAGACGTTTATTTTATAAAATGGAAATCATTCTGTAAAAATAATATTTTGTAAAATCAAAACATTAATCTTAATACAGATGACACAGTGTTGATAGCAGACAGAGAAAAGAATCTATATGTTGTGTCCCTTCAGGACGTTGCCAATCATGGTTCTCTTCAATTTCATGTCGTTTGTAGATCTTAATAAATTTTGTCTTTATGTTATCTCTCCTAAACCTTGTTCCGTCATCCATTTACTCAAGTTCGCTAGGCAGGTTTTGCCTTGTTTTTCTCTGTCCCTCAAGCTGTCCTGTGAGTATCAAATTTTCTAATCACTTCTTTCTTATTATGTACCTTAGACATTTCAACTATATCTTTCTGATGTTAAGGATAAGTGTCTTTTTCGTTTCTCTAAAACGTTGTCATTGCTCACATGTTCAGTTAATGGTATCCTCAGCATTCTTCTGTAGAACCATATTTCTGTGCCCTCAAGTTTCTTCATCTTCTTCGATGAGATTGTCCAGCATTCATTGTCGTATAGGAGGACACATAATTCAGTACATTTTTATTTGTTTCTAACAATGTTTTTCCTGTCTCTTAATACTTTGCTTAGCTTTTGGAATGTATATTTGGCTATCACAATGCGTCTTTGGATTTCAGTGTTGCACTTTCCGTCCTCTGTTAAAACACTTCCCAGACATTTACATTTTTTAACGAGTTTGATTTTGGAATCTTAAAAGGTATTTTCCTGAATATGCTCTAGTGAAGTTGCCTGAGCATCTTCTATGCTACCAAAGACTGTAGCATTGGTACAACGGTGCAGTTGGTATGATTATTACGTAATTTACGAGACGAAAGAATAGTAATTTTCAGAGGCTTTTTTTTAAATACTCGCCGGATTTAGTAACAAGTATTTACTAATGGTTGCTTATTTAGGCGAAAGGCTACAAAAATGGGGCGAGTACTAAGAATAAAAAAACAATTACTACAGTAACAATTGTCTATATGACTAAGTTAGTAACCAGTGGCATTCTAAGCATATCTTAAATGTGACACACGTCCGAAATTATGGGGCACCCAGTGAGGATCGAACTCACTAGTCAGTCGTAATTGGTCGAGCGAGATAATCTTGCTAACAATTAAACCACGTCGAAGTGACCAATGGCATTCTAAGCATATCTTAGATGTGGGTCAAGGCCGAAAGTATGGAGCACTCAGTATTTATTAACTGTAGCATATTCTGGTAAAAGGCTACAAGAATGGAGCGCCTACTAAGAATGAAAAAAATAACTTACTACAGTAGTAATTGTTTATATGTCTAAGTTAGTTACCATTTCTCTATAGTGAAACGTCTTTGTTGTTTTTTTTTTGTATTTATATTTATCATCTGTATTCGCTGACGTAGCACAATATCTATACCGGTATTTCCCGCCAGCTCCGGCCACTAAACTGCACGTTTTTACACAGATTTACTCAGTCACGATAGAGTGCGATAATAGAAGAAAAAAAAAAGTGACCTCTATATCTGTGACACCATCAGATTTTGTTCAAAGCATTTGCATTGCATGCTGGACTTTCTTTCCGTTTTTTTTTTTTTTTAGTTAAGAATGTCTCTCTGCATTACTTAATCACATTTTTCCCTCGCATTTCATCCTTCAGTCATTGGCTGCTAAAAGTAAAAAAAAATAAAAAAAACTTTCGTTGCGCATTGGATTTTCTCTCTCGGATTTACTTTGTTACTTCTGTTCGTTTAATCATCAAAGAGAAATCAACTCGCCAAGAATATTTGACGCGAAATTTTAGTGTTCAATTAATCCGACGTCTGCACTGCTATTTCAGCTATTCGGGCGTCGAGGATTTTGTCGCCATTAACCCTTGTAAGTAGCGTATTACTTCTTTTTCAGTAGAGCATTGGACTCAAAATTCGAGATTTCAGCTATGCTAAATTTAGAGGAAAAAAGACACTGTTTAACTACTTGGTAATTATTAATTCAGAACATTAACTGAGTGAAAAATGAACGGGATTGTTCACACGTGAGTACTGTGGCACAAGGCCGAAAGTATTGGACACTCAGTGAGGATCGAACTCACTACTCGAACGTAATTAGTCGAGCGAGACAACCTTGCTACCAATTACACCACGTCGAAGTGACCAATGGCATTCTAAGCATATCTTAGATGTGGCACAAGTTTGAAAGTATCGGGCACCCAGTGGGGATCGAACTCACTTGTCAGTCGTAATTGGTCGAGCGAGATAATCTTGCTAACAACTTCAGCACGTCGAGGTGCCCTTATGTGTTTTTATGATCAGTTTTTATCCAAAAATACTATACACATGTCCGTTTTTGAAGAGGGTAAAATATCATGCATTTTCAGTGACGGGTTGCATTATACACAGGGTTGTAAAGGGGTTAAAACAAAGGTTAAAATTCAAGCAAAAAATTCAGCGGTTGCACTATACATGAAATTGGTTTATAAACAGTGATGTACAAAATTATAAATTTCCTTTAGCAACCGTTTCTGTAGAGTTTTTTTCAACATCAACCAGATATCACGAGATAACTTATACATCTTAATACAGAGAGAAAACTACAACTAGCTTTTATTTTAATCTGCTCAGATATATTTCTTATTACTATAAACGTATTTTTAGTGGGTATATGTATTTGAGTTGATATCCCTTTTTTTATTTTTATTTCATTAAACAGCGAATATTGAGAATGGATCGAATCTGTGAAATTATCAGATATCGCAGTTTCAATTCTTGTTAGAGGCACAATTTTTCTTTCGTAGGGATCCTCAGTTTTGCCTGTTTGTTATTGATTTCATTTTTAAGATAACAGAATATAGCGACAGCAGCTCAAATATGTGTACCCTCTAAAAATAACGTCCATAGTAATAAGAAATAATGGCAGACAAAAAAATTATTTTCAAATATATACGCTCCCGGGAAATTCGGTTGAACTATCGAGAGAATAAAAAGGTGGTTTTAAAAACAGCGGCTTCTACTGCTATTAATGCATTACTCTTTAAGTACGAATTGAGTTCACCGAGCCAAAGGCGTATTTCGCATAAAAAAAAAAAAAAAAAAAACGTTAAAATTCCCTTTCCTCTCTGCCGTGCGACGATAGCCTAGGGTAGGATCTCTGACTGATGTCAAATCGGTCAAGATGCAGCAAACGCAGTAATTACATACCCGTTGGGTAGGTTCGTTTACTCGGTTCACTGAC